ACTTTGTTTAGGTATACCCACATATTATTGAGTAATACAATGATTCTCATTACTTTTCAGCCATACCACGTATATATACACACACACACACACCGCAGTTTGCTCCATCCGGTTTGATACCTTATGAGGTGAGACTTATACTCGAGGCTCTGCCCCCTCATTCCAATCAGGAGTGTGAGGAAATGACCCACGTATGTATTTCCAAAGTTTACACCACCCATCTTGACTATATGCTTAAAGTGGTGTGATCTTATATATATTACGAAAGTTAGCCATCCCGACCACCTATCATCGAAATGGGTATTATTTTGCCTTTTTTCTTATATATATAAACTGCACTTAAATACTTCAAGTACTTACTCAATGCATACCCACCGAGATCGTATTTTTTTATGATTATTTTCTCAAGAAAAAATAATTTAAGGGTAGTGTTTGGTCACGTTATCTCCATCTTTAGATTTATTATTATTCCTGTCTGACATTATTTATTGGTAATTTTGCATATATATAATCGAAATTTTTTGATGAAATATTTACAATTTAATGTTTTGTCTGTTTTGTCACTAAAATATACATATAATACTGTCTTCTTCACTACTTCCAAAAGACAATTATCAACGAAAATTTCCCTTATTCTCAATACTCCTATAATAATAAATTTTTTCAGAAAATGTATACATTTTCCGTACATTCCATATTAATATTAATATCTACAGAATTATATATGCATGAAAAGAGCGCTTTTCCGTGCATAGTTGCCCTGAAAAGGGCCTGAAAATACCAGTCACAGGACATTTCCCACCGATCTATAGGAGGTTATATTCATATGCGTAAAATTTTGTTTGGTGCGTCCAATTGCAAGTATAAACAGAAATAAATGTGCAAATATTACATTACATATGTAAACTCGATAAGTCGGCCAAAACTTTCACCCCATTTTCTTAATATTTAAGTAATTTAATTCGATAAGTTGGTTTACTCAATAAGTCGGTCATATGAGCTCACCCCCACATGACCGACTTATCGAGTTTACATATGTATTATGAATATTTACAGATTTTTGATCACTTAGGTATGTCTTTTATATAGTGCAAGACACCTAGTCCCACAACTTTTTATTGGCCTTGTAGATCCTTCTCTAACTCCAAAAATGGAA